TGATCTGTATGTGTAATGTGTATTTGTAAAGCGCTTTGAGAGTCTTTGATAAAGCGCTATAATAAATATAAGGATTATTATTATCACTGTACGACCAAAGCTCACTGAACTAGCAGCCAGGAAAGAGCAAGAAAACAACTTCACTTTACGTAGCCATGAGGATAGTTATGTCTTGCCTTTAAGCTGCTTTGTGATCAAAAGTTGTGTTCAAGGACATAAACGGTTAATCCAATGTCTCTGTAACTTCAAAGTGATTACTGATAATCCATCATTACAATTATAAATAATAAACGGATTATCATGGTTCGCCCACCGGAGCTTCCGGTTCAGGAGGTGCGCACGCAGCGTCTCGTTTTAACTGAATAAAGTCATGGATTTATGAACTGCCCCTAATTACCCCCCCCTTCCAGAGACACACGGTCACCACACTCACACCTGCTTGGTATGACACATTAAATAATAAATACAAATAAATTACAATAAAATGACTGTTTAATCTTCACATCGTGTAATGATGAATTTTGAACACCAAATTATTGAAAAGTGTCGATAAGAGTATCGAAAAATACCGGTATCGATAAAATCCTAACGATACCCATCCCTACACAGGACATAAGACGAAACACCTGAACCTTTGAATGAACATCATGACATTCATCCGATTGCAACTTGTAAATTATTTATCTCGTGTATCATATTCCAATTACTTTTATATAGACTCTTCTTGCACTATTTTATCTGTTCTATGTCCTATATTCATGTCGCACTGTTGGAGGAGACTTACGTTTTTAAATAAACAACATTAGACATATGGCAGATAACTAAATAATGCTAAAGAAATAAATGGTGTGCAGTTACTATAAATCAGTTTAAAGTACAGACCAAGAATATAATGACATTTGAATATATATTCATGTTGAACTGTGACCTCAGTTTCATTGACATATCTACACTTTAGCTAATGAACAAATGACACAGCCTCGAGTCGTTGACGGTGCAGAGCAGCGTTTTCTCTCGCTCGTCATGAAAGCCAGAGGAATGTAGAGATTCGGTTTCAGGCTTTCCATTTCTGCACATTGTGAGGGTCAAACTCTGACCAGCGTCTTTCTGCTGCCTCAGCACTGTTCTGCTCTGACCTACAATATGGCTTTGCTTCATCTGCACAGTTTCCACCGGGGGAGGGGCGTCTCGTTACCTCCCACTCCGTGCACTTCAGGTTCATGTTATCGCTAAATTAAGCATCAGCCGAGCGTCTTGTTTTCCTTTTTATGAATCGAGCCGGCGCAGGTTCACGAGCGTCGCATCACGCCCCGTTAACTCGCACAATTACGCCGTAAATGGAGTTAAACGGGCGATAGGCGTGTTAATCAGCGTAGTTACCTGATGGACATGCAGCTGCCATGGATTTTAATTAACAATTGAGTCATTAAGTCATAAAACGTCTGCAATGTGACAAATTTAACAAGAAAGCAATTATTTCTTCTCATTTGACCCAAAATGCGATCTGTTTCCGTGCTTAAGGAGCATTTATAGCTATATCATTTTAGATATAATGATTTTTCTGAATGTGAGAAAGGTAGGGCAGGAGTAGATGATGTCAACATGTGTTCACACTCTAGTTAATCTTTATATTGTCAGGCAGTCTTATCCAGATTAAGATCTGTCTTCACAACCTGACATCAAGAAAGCGCTGAGACGTTGTGTATCCCACGAATGCTTCACAACCAGAATAGAGATTATGCACGCTCTGAAATCCTGCATAATTTAATTCCCGATCAAACACAATTACCTGGGTTTGTCTCACATGCATGAGCGTGCACGTGCGTTTGTTTGCACGTCAGGGTGCTTTCATTCATGCTTTTCACTGCAGAGATTTGTGGTTTTGGGACCTGAAGACGAGAGCCGTCAAAACAAAACCCCCCTCTCATCCGGCAGAGCAAAACATAGACGCTCATTGGAGAGCAGATTACAGCAGGATGTTACTCTGACACACACACACACACACACACACACACACACACACACACACACACACACACACACACACACACACACACACACACACACACACTCTTAACTTCCTTTAAAAACTCCACTACCCTGCAGAGAAGTTACTACATTAGAGGAAGACGGCTCAGAAGTTACCGTATAGTTTCTCGCCGTCATTACAAACAAATGGATATTTAATATTTCACTAGTCTTTGGAAGGGGCCACACTTATTGGGACACTTTCAGACACATTTGAACCCAGCTGTTATTGTTTTAATTAGTATATATAAAGTCAGACTTCTTCTTATCGTGTCCACAAGGCAGATACAGGGCTTGGTTAGATGTGGTTCAGCCACAGCTGAACACATTGCTGTCCCTTCTCATTAAACTCTGCCAAGTCCGATGTTGTGCAGGGTTGCTCCAGCAGGGGGCATATCAGGAGATGTTGCATGGTTTGTGGTTCAATGCCGCAGTCACACACAACGTCCCCGTCATTTAGGTATCCCCATTTGGCGAGAGTGGCTTTTGCACGTCCAACACCAGATCTTATTCTGTTTAGGCATTTCCACACTGCGTAGTTGGTGTCTGCTCCAGGGGGCAGTGCCTCGCTCGCCTTTAGCTCCGTTGCTGATGGGGAGGTTGTCTAGTCTTTCTTCCCACCCTTCCTTCAGGGCAGCGTGATGCTTCCTAAAGGTCAAAGTGCATCCTCCGATCCCCTCATTTTGAACCCAAATATCTGTACTTTCTACTTCTTACATGTTGAACTCAAATACCTGTACTTTCTACTTCTTACATGTTGAACTCAAATACCTGTACTTTCTACTTCTTACATGTTGAACTCAATACTGTAACTTTACTTCATGTTGAACTCAATACTGTACTTTCTACTTCCTTACATGTGAACTCAAATCCTGTACTTTGCTACTTCTTACAGTTGAAACTCAAATACCTGTTACTTCTACTTCTTACATGTTGAACTCAAATAAACCTGTACTTTCTACTTCTTACATGTTGAACATCAAATACCTGTACTTCTACTTCTCAACATGTTGAATCACAAATACCTGTTACTTTCTACTTCTTACAACATGTTGAACACAAATACCTGTACTTTCTAACTTCTTACAATGTTGAACTCAATACACTGTCCTTTCTACCTCTTACATGTTGAACTCAAATACCTGTACAT